CTGATGGGGAGCACATACCCTGCTCTGGGCAGCTCACTCCTGTCCCATGGGGCTTGCATGGTTTGCTGTTGCATAAAGATTTTGGCACTGCCCTCCTCTCCTCAGCTGGCTTCTTACCAAACTTTTCTATTGTGTACCTTCCATTTTGAGTTCTGGCATAGACCATGAGCCCAACCAACTTTCACTACACCAGATGAAGTCTCCACATCAAACTTTTGGTAACAAATATTTAAGTTAAAATATACATATAAAGTTTTGGCTGGTTTTGTTCAGACTCCATATACAAGTGAGGCAAAAGATGGTTGGCTGTGGATGCTCCAGGTAGTCATCTGCTCAAAGTACTGAGACCTCTACAACAGGGACTTCATACAAGGGTTTAAGTGATCCAGAAAAATGAAAGACAATTTTCAAAGAACTTCTCAATTCATTGAGGGAACAGAAAAAATGTACACTTAATGTTAAGCTAATTATGAGAGGAAAAATGACCTAGAGCTGGAAAAACTTATAGATATAAATACTCAACTTAATGGGAGAGGGCCTTGGGTGGTCCCTGAGGGTCTAGTGAAAATCCTATGATAGCTTTGTTCAGTTCCCACTGTGCTCAGTATCCCAGCTTCTTTCCCTTACAGTCACTCTATGGTGTATCATTCCAGGTTAACCTGAGGAAGAAACAAGGTTTCACCTAACATCTTGTTCTCTCATTGGGATCAAGATTGATTGGGAATTGGAGGTTCTTGGTTAAATACTTAGAACTCTGGAAAGCAGACTCTTCAGGGTCCTGACTTTGAATCATATTAACTGCCCCTGCTGATGATATCAGAATTTTCTCTAAAATAAATGAGTTTATTTTATCCAGTAACAGTCACTGAATGGCTATTGAAAATAATCTAATTTAGAGCTGAAATCTTCATACAAAAGCAGAACTCTTCTAAAGCCTAATTTTGAAAAGGGCTACAGGATGAACCATGTGGTAGGAACCTTGACATTCTGAAAACTTATGTAACTTAACCCACTCTTCGTGATTGTGTCTAGGGTGAATATGTACCTAAGTCATGGTTCACCACTTCTCTTCTGAAGACAGCTTTTAGAATGAGCTGAAATTAGATATCCTGTCATTCACCCCTGGGAGTGGCCTTGAAATAAAGTGCAATCAGAAAGGGAAAAACAACAAAAATGCTTAAACACATCTGAACAGCTCAGATTGAAAAGAGGTTTTCTCCTACATCTATGTGCACACAGCACAAGATCACAGTCTTCTCGTTCAAATATATTGGTATTCTGGGACCTTAAACCATCACTACTTGATACTTCTTTTCTTATGATGCTGTTTCAAGTATACTGAAATATTTGGCCACATTTTATATGTTGAGATCTCTCTTTGAAGGTCTCATTCCGCACTTTACAGACGTGAACCACATTGTCCTGCATAGTATCTTGAACCTCTACAAGGACTTATGAACTAGTCAGAAACATAAAGGTCTGTGTATGTGGATTCACTTGACAAAAGAAACCAAAATATTCATACAATCTATCATTCCCCTGGCTTATAAGACATTTCAATATCATCCTCAATTGAGGATAATGACTATACTCTATGGATGACTTTAGGCTTAAACAAGAATGGTAACTTTTCTGCATGAGGGCCTAAAACCTATTTTACAAAATATCTTCCCTGGCCTTGGAGTTCTTTCTACTCAGGGACTGGGTACTGTCCCTGAGCTTTGGTAATAAAGGAACAAAAGTGTTGACAGTCTATCAACTTCATTCACAGCACAACTTGTGGGAAATTTGGTGATAATTGGCCATAACACTTTTACAGCAATTCCTACCTAGTTTGCCTTTCAATTGTGATCTTTAAACCTCATACTCTTGAGCAAGTAAGAATCCCGATGTGAAGCACCAGTGCCCTGTTAGATCAGGAGATCTTAATTACTTGATCCAAACAGGACTCATGGTGTCCACATAACAGGATATAAAATTCATAACATCATATATATAGCCATATGCAAAGGTCCTTTTGCAATCACTTGGTAAAGGACTGTTTACCTATCATTGGGTAAACCACACCCAAATTCTTCCACTAAATATTTAGAAGAATGTATTGGTTACACGTATCTTATTATTGGTCCTCAGGTTGAATTCAGGGGCAAAAATTTGTGAGGCTTCCTTTACCTTCTATGCCAGGTGCCCTTTTGCATCACTGATTTTTCACATTAGGGTCTTGCATCTCTGCCTGGGCCTTTCAACACACTAATTTTATAATTACATATCACAAGTAGCAAAAAAGATAGGCACATATACCCAGAGCCATGCTTTTATTGGCTAAGATACCATTTTCATGGAGCTTTTGCATGGGATGGCCTACAAAACTATCTAATTTCAGCTTCCAGAGTAGTTAGGATTCCACACATGAGGGAGTGTAATAGCTCATTTTTAATTGCTGGTCTGAAATTAAAAGAGGAAAGGGTACTTTACCAATTCAGTGAGCATTAAGTCCCTTTAATTGTGAATTCAAGCAAAGTGTTGGCCAAATGATAATAACAAAAATAATACAAAACATTAATAAAATATGTTATCATCAGGCGTACTTTTAATGAATGTGGAATGTTGGTTCATAATTTGAGGTATATAACAGGTCTAGGTAGGACTCCAGTCTGTGAACCATCCCTTCTCAGAAAGCATACAGTTTGTAAACATGGGAGAATGAGCGATTTCCAAATGGATAGAGTGTGTGTGTGTGGGGGGGGGGGGGGGTACCAATAGGAAGGCCAAGAGCTCAGGTGCCTCCCAATCTCATTTTTTTTACTAGGCCTCTGTAAATAAGCAGAAGGGTATGCCTGGGAAGGTAGCTCTGTGTTAGAGCACTTGCCATGCATGCATGAGGTCCTGGGTTCAATTCCCCAGCACCACATAAGCAAAAAGAAAAAGCTTTTATGGAGGCCAAGATGAGAGAATCTCCTTTGAAGCCAGCTCTGGATGGCTTCAACTCAGTTCCTGAATTCAACACCTCATATTGGCACAAAAACATTCCTTCATGAAAGTGTGAAAGTAGAGCTCTTCATATAACCAAACAGCTCTGGACATATCTAGAATGATTGGCTTATATAGGATCTGGAGTCTTGGACTTGGTTTATTAATTGAGCACTTTCTGATGTAACAAACATTTTTTTCTAAATGTTTCCAGGATATCTTTAATTACATAACTATATAGTGGCATCTATCTTGGCTCTAGAAATTCTAATGTTAGATCAAACTTTGTGTTTCTGTAAAAGAAAACAGTATATTTGTTGGAAGCCACATTATTTTAGATGGAATACTGGAGTCTATTACACAGCTAGCAGTCTGCAAGCAGCCTGTTGTAACAAAGACATGCAGTCCACAAATACACTTAGACAGCTTGGAAACAGGACAGAAAGGGGGGGGGGAGAATAAAAACAACACCAAGAAACCAATCAGCACCAAGAGAGTGCTGAATTGGGACACTAAGATGACCAGAGACAAGCCAGGAGATGGCAAACAGGACATGATTAAAGAGACATGTGGCATGGCATCTGGTGCCACTGCTGGGCCAGCCTAAGTAGGGCCTAAGCAGGAGGCAGGTCTACAGGAAATTCCCAGTCCCAGGCACTGGACTATCAGTTTGAGTAACATATCAGCCAAATGCCCATGCCTGCTTGCAGGGATCCAGCCACACCCATCAGTTGGGTGGCAAGTGATGGATGGGTCATTTCCTTCCCCCTGCATGAAAACAAGATGCCAGACCCCACCATCTACCATGTGGCCAATAGTGCACCAGCCACACCTGACCTCCTTACTTAATATTACTGAATTAGTAAATCAATTTATAAAATGTTACATCCTCTTTATCATTTTGTAAACATTCAAAAATTTTCTTTTTGTCAAAGCTATATTTCTTGAGCTCCACCTCTGAAACAATAATTCTCACATTCACCAATAATTAAACATTCTACTTTTGAATAGTTTATTTCTTCCTTCTTCCTCATTCCTTCCCTTCCTCTTTCCTTCTCTCACTTCCCTACTCCTTCCTTCCTTCCTCTCAGGGTCTAGAAGAGATGCTGTAGCTCAAGTGGCAGATGGTTTTATTTCTTTATTAACTTCAATTTTTGTGAGAGATTGATCAATATCTTTGTGTGCTTGATTATTTCCCCTAATGTCATATCTACTTTGGCCCTCTATGAGATAACATGGGTGTTTTATTATAGATAACTGGTGTTTTATTATAGCTCACTCAGCAGAACAACTAAATGTGCTAAGAGTGAATCAATCACAAGTTTTTCATCACCAGTGATTAATTAAAGAAAAGTGCAAGCACTGAAGACACTTTGGGGTTCTCCCCCAAGACAAAATGCAGAGATTCTAGTCTTTATTAATCCATCATATTTTTTAAATATATATTTTATTGTAAAGATACAGTATAGATTGGTTATACCATTATATGAGTTAGGTGATGAATACATTTTCTATTGAGCATTGTTACCCCTCCAAGAAAGACTTTACTACTGTTATGACTTTTTCTAGAAAACCTTTCCATTTTTTCTACATACGATTTTTCTCCTCTTTGTGTGTGAGGGTGTGTGTGTGTCTGTGTGTTTTATGTGTTCTATGATGAACCCTGAGCTGTGTCTTGTAGTTCGAGGACTCCACATCTGCTATATCATAAGGTCTCTATGCTGTATTGGTTCTGTATTGCAATTTCAATTTTCTTACAGATCAAAGACTTTCCCCATTTGGTACAATCCTAAGTTATTTCATTTATGTGAAGCAACTTATGTGTGTTAAGCTGTGACCTCCAGGTCTTTCCACACTGGTTGCATTCATAAGGTTTCTCTCCGTGTGTTCTTTGATGGATGTTAAGGTGTGCCTTCCAGGTGAAAGAATTTCCATGCCTGCTACATACATAACATTTCTCTCAGGTGGGTTTTTTTTCTGATGGACAGAAAGGTGTATGTTCTGGATGAAAGACTTTCCACATAGGTTACAATCATAAATTTCTCTCCTGTGTGTGCTCTCTGGTGGATAGAAAGTTGTAGCTTCTGGCTGAAAATCTTTCCCAAATATGACATTCATAAGGTTTCTTTCCTGTGTGTATTATCCGATGGACATTGATGCTTGACTTCCAAGAGAAGGACTTTCCACACATGTTACATTCATAAGGTCTCTCTAATGTGTGTGTTTTCTGGTTCACAGTAAGGTTTCTTTTATGGGTGAAAGACTTTCTACACAAGTTACATTCATAATGTTTCTCTCTGGTGTGTGTTCTCTGGTGGACATTAAGATTTGATTTCTTGATGAAAGAATTTCCACACATCTTACATTCATAAGGTTTCTCTCCTGTGTGTGTTCTCTGGTGCAGAGTAAGATATGCCTTGCAGGAGAAAGACTTTTCACAAATGTTACATTCAAAAGGTTTCTGTTTTGTGTGTCTCCTCTGGTGGCGAGTAAGCTTTGATTTCTCGGTGAAAGACTTTCATCACACATTACATTCATAAGATGTCTCTCTAGTATGTGTTCTCTGGTGGCGAGTAAGGTTTGATTTCTTGGTGAAAGACTTTCCACAGTTGTTACATTCATAAGGTTTCTCTCCTGTGTGTGTTCTCTGGTGGAGAGTAAGATATGCCGTCCAGGAGGAAGACTTTCCACAAATGTTACATTCAAAAGGTTTTTCTTTTGTGTGTGTTCTCTGGTGGCGAGTAAGGTGTGTCTTCCAGGGGAAAGACTTTCCACAGTTGTTACATTCATAAGGTTTCTCTTCTGTCTGTGTTCTCTGGTGTCTAGTAGCATATGCCTTCCAGGAGAAAGATTTTCCACAAATGTTACATTCAAAAGGTTTCTCTTTTGTGTGTATTCTCTGGTGAACAGTAAGCTTTGATTTATGGATGAAAGACTTTCCACAAAGGTTACATTCATAAGATTTCTCTCTAGTATGTGTTCTCTGATGGAGAGTAAGCTTTGATTTATGGGTGAAAGACTTTTGACACATGTTACATTCATAAAGTTTCTCTCCTGTGTGTGTTCTCTGAGGGACAACAGGGTGTTTCTTCTCAGTGAAAGACTTTTCACACTGTTTACATTTGTAAACTACAGAAGACACATGAGTACTATATGCAGCACACATCTTACCGGGTTCACTGAAAATACCCATGCTCTGACAGCCAGTGACTTTTCTATCCTTATCCCTAAGGAGTTCCCATTATTCTTAATCAGTTCTGACTTCTGTATGGAGCTCAAATGAAAACTTCTTATAAGTCTCACTTTTTCCTCCCCTTGGTTACTATTCAGGATTGCTGCTTCAGAGAGATACTTCTTGTGACTTTCCTGGCAGGTGCTAATCACATCCTCCATTTCTGGGACATCTAAAATGAATAATAGAAAAATAGACAAAAACATAAATAAGACCCACAAATTCCTTACTATAATGACATTTCCTCAAATTCTGCTACTAGATTTTCAAATATCAAAGCATTGCTTTATTCAGAATATATACTTTTCTCTGCAATGTAGTAATTAAGAAAGTAGTACTGACATTTTACAATGGAAAATAATGTTTTTCTGTATTTCAGATTTTTATATTTTTCTCAAGGAAATATTTACTCAAATTATTCATCTCCATACTCTTAATGCTTCCATTCTGAATCTCCCTCTATGCCCAGCACCACTGATAAGAAATTGTCCTGATCCTATTTTCCTCCTACCTGCAAAATACTAGTTTAAAATAAAATGAGATCTCCTTACTACATTTCTTATTGTCTTCTTCACTTTATGAATAACTTCTCTAGAGATAAAGAGAATTGCTAACATTAACTACGTGGAACATCAAATTCAGTTTGTCTCCATGAGAATTCTAGATTGACAATTCCTTGAGACAAAGGATCACCAATTTCTTTTCCATACATGACTCAGGGCACTAGGAATACTATTGCTCTGTACAGCTCAAATAAACAGACCCACTGGGCTCTGGACCCAACATCACTATTCAAGATGCTTTAACTCACCTGTGAAATTCTCTTCTGAGCCTTCTCTCATCCATGGTTCTGCACCTTGGTCCAGCTTCACAATCAATATAGGTTTAGGAACACAGTGCCCTGTGAATAAGAAATAGTGGAGAACTATTGCTCTTGCTGGGTCATCATTAATGTAATGTTGCAGACATCCTGTTCACTGGGTTGCTCCTAAATCTGGTATCTCAATTGTTTTATTTTTGGAAAGGTGGGATTGGTTGTGGAGCTTGAACTCTGAGCCTGGGAGCTGTATCACAGCTCCTAAGCTCAAGGCTAGCACTCTACCACTTGAGCCACAACGCCAATTCTGGCTTTTTTTTTCTGCCTTTTTCATGCTAAATAATCGAACACAGGGCCACAAGCAGGCAAGGCAAGGGCTCTACCACTGAGCCAACTTCCCAGCCCATGGTGTCTCAATTCTTAACATCTCCATGGTGTACTTTCCCGCAGCTTTGGGTTTATTTTGCCAATGTGTGGCTTGAACTCAGCACTTTTGCTCAAATCTAGCATTCTACTAGATTGTGTCTTGGATACATTTCTAGTTTTTGAATGGTTAATTGGAGATAAGAGTCTCATGTTTACTTTTCTACAGTTGCTGGCTTCAAACCAAAATCTTCAGATTTCAGCCTACAGAGTATCTAGTATTTCAAGCTTGAAGCAATGAAACCTATGTCAGGTTTGGCTTACAAATACACACTTTCACCCTTTCAACTACTGACTTCCAGATAATACTGACAGTAGTAATGTATATTCTATCTAGTCTGTAGATCCACCTATAATAATCACCCCAAGTCTGGGAAGTCAGTTTCCTGTTAGTGGATCATAGTTTAGAACTTTTGTCCAACTACTAATTTGCCTTCATAACTAATGAGAATAAAATTAGCTCTTGAGTTACATATAATGAAGTTGAAGTTTCCCTTAGAAAGAAATGACACTTCTCATGGACTGGAATCTTTTTTTTTTAACAAAATGTAATGGTCCAAAGGCTTACACTTGTAACCCTACATTTAGGAGGTAAGATTAGAAGAGGCAGGCTTGAAACCATCCTGGGCATGGAAATTAAGAATATATCCCAAAACAAAATCCAAAATGGAGTTGTGTCTCAAGCAGTAGTGTGAAAGGCAAACAACATCAAGCTCCCCAACCTGAATTTGGCTGGCTTTTATACTAGCAGTTCTTTACCTGGGAATGGACTGGAATCTTATACCTAAATACCATAGTCAAATGTCTACTAAAATAAAAACACTTGATCTTACAAATAAAAGTGACCTTTGCTCACCCAAGGACATTAGGTTCCTATAAGTCTCCCGCATCACTTCTCTATGAAGGGCCCTCTGACCAGGATCGAGATCCTGCCACTCCTTCCAGGTGAAGTCCACAGCCACATCATCAAATGACATCAGCTTCTGTAATGGCACATTTCCATCAAGAAATTAGATCTGGGTCATGAGAATTCCAACCTGGAATTTCATTATGCTGCAGGTATGCTTTTGTCTTACATTAAATGTTTGCAGCTGGCTATGTTATTTTTTCACAGGGAAAATTAAATAGCAAATTAGAAATATTTGACAATACATAAACCTGGCCATTAAAATACACAGATTTGCAGGGCATTGGTGGCTTATGCCTGTAATCCTAGCTATTGAGGAGGCTGAGGTCTGAGGATCAAGTTTCATGGCCAGCCCAGGCAGGAAAGTCCATGAGACACTTATCTCCAGTAAACCACCAGAAAACTGAAAGTAGCACTGTGACTCAAGTGGTAGAGCACTCACCTTGACCTGAAGAGCTGAGGGACAATAACCAGGCCGAGAATTCAAGCCCCAAGACCAATAAAAATTACAGATTCCCTAATGTATGCAAACACATTTCTGCTTCTAGCAATAGAGACAAGATAAAAATTCTAAGGAGACAATAATCTGGCATGATGACATTAAGTCTAAGGTGGTGTCTAAAAAATTATATTATTATTTTTGATAAAATTTTAGTACATATAAGCATAACAATGAATTAAACAAAGATTTTCTCTTCATTTACATTTACTGCTTCACTGTAAATCCTATTTAGACCTTCTATTAACAAGTACTCTCATAAGCAAGCAGAACACATTCAGGATATCACATGGTATACAGAACATAGAACATTACTAGATCAAAGAAAAGCAGTGTCCACATGAATATTATAAAACAATAACAGTATTCCAGAAAGTAGCTAATGATTTATTGGGCCCTTATAAGATTTGATTTAGTTCCCACATAAAAATATCCTAGGTTATCCATGTTTGGTTTAAATACTAAATATTGAAATGTGGTCTTAGATACCCTGATATTTCCTTCCTATGTAAAAAAGAACTGCTACCATGAAGTTTTGTAAACTTTCTCTACATTCTACAATACAAAATATAGGTGGGAGGGGAATAAAATGTTCCTTGAGAAGATTTTCATTTTAATAGGCCTTCATGGAAGGTGAAGGCAAATTGATAGAGACTAAAGGAACACTCAAGATGACAAAAATGATAAATATGACCAAGTGGTCAAATGTGTTAAATATTCCTGAGTCATTTCTCCAGTAGATCCCTAAAGATATATTTCCACTTTTGTTAGTTAATAGTGAAATTCCTCAGAGATCAAAATCAATTCCTGAGCAAACATCTGTGAGATTTTTCAACAAATGATATTTCTAATAGAGAAAATCTCATCACTGTATTATTTTTTTTTTTTATCAAAACTACCTATCTTATACTGGCAGTGAATGAAAATATTTAAAAGTAGTGGTATGGAAAAAGAAAACTGAGTACCACGACAAATGAAGTTAGAGCAAAGATAACAGAATGAGGTGAAATCAAATTTTCTTGTAGTTTATCAATTGGAGGAAGGATGTCCTTTTCTGTATGGAACTCTGAAGTTGAGCTGAAGGGGGGAAAGGTTTGAAAGGTTGGAATTCCAGCCTGACAGCATTGAGAGCACTGAGAGCTGGCTGCAGAAGGCGCAAAAGAGAATTCTGGAGATGGTTAAGAGACTGGAGGGCAGGCCTTTTCCTTACTGTTGGAAAGATAGCATCTGAAACTGAGCTGCTGTTCACCTTGAAGGCTAGGTAAGGTGAACTTCATGTCTGCATTTTCTCTGGGCACCAGTCTTCTGTCTCAGGAGAATAAGGAAACATGTTTTCCTCACAACCTGTTGTGGCTCAGATTGTAATATTAATATAGATATTTCAATTTTGCATGTTATCAATGGTAATCTTCCCTGTGTGAACTCAAGGAACTATGCTTGCTTGCTGGCAACCAGAGACCAAGTGCCAGAGAGCCTTTAGAACCCTGGTTTCCCCTAAGTCTATCTGTTTATGTTTTTGTGTTTCTCTAATTTTCTTTGTTTCTGGAATCCTGTAGAACTCTCTAGGCAACAATTTTCCTATACAGTGGGTAAGAAAAATGTCAATCTTAAGAGCCATGTCAGCAACATAAAGCTGATCACTAAGAAAAACTAGCTCCCAGATAGATCATTGAAGAAAAAAAAAAACTGAGAGACATATGGAGGAAAGACAGAATGAGAAAAGTAAGAAAAAATGATTCAAAGATAGATACAAAGAGAGAGAAAGAGAAAAATAACCAACACAAGTGAGTAGAAAACCAAAAGTAGAGAGAGATTATAGAGGAAAGAAATCTTGTGAGGATACTTTAGAAAACAAACAAGATTTTGAAAATAGAACATAAACTTTAGCAACAAATATAGCCTCAGCTTCAAGTAAGACCAAGACCATGAAGTAGTCCAAGAAGTATATATGGAGAGTAATTTAAGTACATATAGGTTAATCATTCCTTAAGAACACACGAAGGTGCGTATGACCACACTATTTCAGCAATTCCAGGAAAATTTCATTGAGATAGTTTAATGTTACTCATGAGGATGAGATCTGGTTGAAATCTACCCTTCACCTTCCACGAGATGTAACCTGCTCGGTGACACTACATCATATAACATGTATGACTACATGTTATGACAAGAAGAAACCTAGACATTCTGAAGCCAATCTGAATTCAACTTAGAAAGAATATAACCATTTAATCTGCTAAACCTACAAGTAATCTTTATCTCCTAATCTACAAGCCATCTTTTTCTGATTTATGAATACATTCCTGAGGCTGAATCTGTGTCGTTGGCATTGTTTGTAATTCTTGGAAATCTTTAGGTTCATATAATGGAATGGAAAACAAATGAGAAATAAAAAAAACTCACCAGAGATCCATTCATTCTGTCTTGCTGCTGACAATGAACAGAAGACTCTAGAAGCACGGCTGGGATATAAAGCAAATCACACATTCAGAAATGAATCTGTGAGATTTGGGGTCCAGAATTTTCTCTTGCATACATGATACATGGGCTGCAAAACCATAAAGTTGTCCTAGAAGAATCTTTAATGTCTCAGGCAGAGCATTAAAGTTTCCAAGAAACACAAATGCAGTCTATTTCCTGACAGATAGATATTATTAAACAAACTAATTTCTATGTTTATGTACACTAAGTTCGAAAAAATGAATGTTCCCACAAATATTATTGAATACTTGAAAGCAAAAACATATCACATTTCCACTAAAAGTATTTATTACTGAATGTACTTCGGTATGTAGGAACTGCTTTTTTTTAATGCAATGGTATCCTAGGAATCCACTGGAATTTGTGTTCTACCTCATTCATTTACATATTTTAACACCAGGGAAAGCATGTATGATGTAGTTTTCACACAATTTAGAGAAAAAATGTCTACAGAAAATATTTCTTGTGTTATAATATTCCAACAATGGTTGTCAAATGGCACATTTCACTGTACCCATTGCACACCTATGCAATGACTTGCAATTTCCATTTAACATGCTTTGGCCAAAGGGACATGAGTAAAGATGAGGTAAACCCAGGTTTGAGAAGTCCCTAATGTTCATTTCCCTAAACAGTCTTGGAAAGAACCTTGACCATCCTAAAGATACAATATAAAATACTCCATATAGGAGTGACACACCTGAAGATAAGCAACACCTACAAAGCATACAACCTTGAGTAAGACATATTACCTCAAGTTTTCTTCTGTGATTTTTCTTTTAAGGCCAAATTTCCCTGACCAAAACTTTCTGTACTACCAGGCAAAACCAACCAATAAGAGCTAGCATTAGCAAATCCTTAGATGGGACATTTAACATAAGTTTGCACACTAAAAATCATAGTGGTAACAGGCTGAATAAACTATTAAGAAGAGGATTAGGGATTACTACATTAGTAGATACTTTGTCATAACAATTACCCCACCATCCCAAACTACAGCCTCAGGTACCCTCTCATAACATGGCTCTGGCTTATTCCTCAGTCCAGCGCATCACAATTCCTGGAAATTAGTGTAAATCTTGCAACAACACAAAGTGATTGACAGTGGTATAGGAAAGAGTACCACGTGAATCTGGTGCTAAGGGAAGTAGCAACAATTTTTGTAATAGGCAAGGGAAGCTAGCAACATCTTCCCCTTGCTGTGCTTTTCTTCTTCTTCCCTTTAGGGCCTCTCAGAATTGACAAGGTCTGTCCATTTAGGATGGAGATTCCTATTCATAGGGTGCTCTGCTTCAAACATTGCTAGGCTTCATTCCTAAAAATACAGGACTAGCACTCACTACTCCAATATCCCATGTACAACTGTCTCTAGAAACAGGGTCATGTACAAATACTTGTGAGCTCAACCCAGGAGATTAAAAACTCAAGCCAAACAGATCAAATTATCTCTAGGAGAAACAACACAGAAGCCCCAAATACAAGTGCAATGTAAGAGGACTCAAGGCAGGCATACATCTCACAATTTCACTAGAATTCTTCCTGTACTCCTCTTACACCTGGGAAAAGCAAATAAAATCACATGTGTTAATAGAAGTATCCCTTGGTCTTGGAGTACAAATGCACAGCTCTTGGGCTCTCCTCGTCTGGACAATGACCCACCTTGCTCTCAGACATTTGGAAACCAGGTTCTTGCATCTGAAGGTCCAGAGGCTAATGGCAGTACAAACTCCTGAGCCTCATGCAAATTATCAACCCCAGACTGGAGAAAAGCGTGGAGAGGGAAGTAGGCGCTTTGGCTCAAGTATAAAGCTCTCCCTCTGTCCTGAGGAGCTCAGGAATGCTGCTTAGGGGCACAAAGTTCACGCCCCACCAAAGAAACAGAAACAGAAAAACAAACAGAAACCAGTGGAGGGGAGACTCCCGCGGCAATCACACAGTTCCTACCTGACATCAGTTCCAAAGCCTGAGATTCCTTCAAGTTACAGCTCCCAAGCTCCACTGCACAGAGCTGGGCGCCAGCCTCCTGGCTCCCACCTGTGGAAGGCCAAACTGTACTTCAGGGCACTTCCAGCAGCCAGGCAAAGGAAAAGAATCCGGAAGAGGCAGACTTAAAACGCCCGTGGTGGGCCGGGAGACACATGCGCAGGAGCATCTTCTGCCCCACCTCCACCCTCCAAAAAACAAAAACAACCCAGGACTTTCAAAGAAAATATCCTCCATGGAGACTACAATTCCCACAATGCTCGGTGCCACCCTGCTGCAAACCTGGGAACAAGTGTGCTCTTGTGCATTGGGACTTTTCTCTCCCTGCTGTGGGAGTTAAGCTCAGTTTCTTCTTGAAAACCACTGTTTCCTCTTGAAATACATAAGACCAACCAGAAAATGGATATATATGGGGAGAATTGGATACATTGGCTTTTAGATTCTTAGTTCTAATAATGAAATTGAGGTTATGAGACTGCGTTGCTTATTCCTTTCTGTTTATTCAATGCCTGTGTTCTGCTGAATGTAAATTATCTCTGTTTTGTCTTAATTTTTTTTAATATATCCCCTCCTACTTTACAAAGATATTGCCGGGCGCCGGTGGCTCAAGCCTGTAATCCTAGCTACTCAGGAGGCTGAGATTTGAGGATCGCGGTTCAAAGCAAGCCCAAGCAGGAGAGACCATGAGACTCCTATCTCCAATAAACCACCAGAAAACCGGAAGTGGTGCTGTAGCTACAGTGGTAGAGCGCAGGCCTTGAACTGAAGAGCTGAGGGACAAGCGCCCAGGCCCAGACTTCAAGCCCCACAACTGCCAAAAAAAAAAAAAAAAAGATATTCACAACCATAAACTTATACCTGTGTCATTTCCCATTGCTGTAATGAAAACACTGGCATACAATAGTGAGATTGTTAGGTGAGTATGCAGCATAATACTTCTGGTGATTTGGATTTCATAAAATCTAACAATTAATTTTGCAGAAACTCCCCAATTCTATCTATTAAATAAAATGAATTTTTGTTTTTGTCTGAATTTTGCATTTCATTTAAGGATTTTATGTTTTGTTTTGTTGTTGGTCCTATGACTTGAACTCAGAACTTGGGCACTGTCTGTGAGCATTTGCTCTGCTCTATTTGCATTTCCTTTAAGAATTTGTTCAAGTAAGTAGTGAAAAGTTTCCTCACAGGGATTCTTATGAACATGGCACATCACCTCCATTTCCCTTCAAAGAGATAGTGGTTAGGGGGGTCAGAGATGAATGCAAGAGGGATAGAACAGTGAAGTTTAGGCTAGGCTATGGTGATGTGAAGCTTAATCACTTGCAAACCAGTCTGCTTTTGTCTTTTCATTTTGCATGTGAATATCTCTTTAGACTTCTTACCTCTTCTCTGATCCTAACAGTTCCTCTCAGTAGCTTTAGGCTACATAACTAAGGGACCTCAGACTTGTCTTCTCAGACCTTATCCATTAAAATGTGCAATAAATCTTTTGTCTCCTGCCGCAATCCCATCAGAGCACAAGCAAGGCTCTGACAGCCAATGGGATGATAATTAAGGAGACAGAGAGATGGCTGATGACACAGTTCAGCTATATTTCTCAAATGCTTGAGTAATATTGGTCTAGACCCACTGTGCCCAAAAGTGCAAGCAGCACACATCTTTCCTTATTCTATTTCAATACATCTTTTCCACCCAAGCCTCCAGACAGTTAAAGCCCCAGGCCAAAAAGCTAGAACACACACTTCCTCAAACCAATAAAGTGCAAGGACTTGCAGTGCTGAGGGTGGGAGTCAATGGCCCTGAAGCCTTTGCTCACATTTGGTCTGCTCCTGGCAGGCACCCCAGGGTCTACAACAGTCTCCCTCTCTCTTATCAAAGAACCTACCCTTGTCTCTTACATGTTTATTGTGATTTTTTGTAATCCCTTCCATCAAAAATAATTGGGAAAGATTGGATTGGAAACTTTCACTTTTGATTTTAGTTCTCCAGTGTATGGGTTCAACATGTCTCTATTGTGGACCAGAACTATTCCTCATGAAAATGGGAATCAAAGAGCATATTTGAATGTATAGACTTCAACTTAAAAGCACCTCTAACAATATAAAGAAAAAATAATTTCATTCTTTAAAACTAAATTCCTGGGAAGTGGCACTGTGGCTCAAGATGTGGAGCGCTCGCCTTGAGCTGAAGAGCTGAGGGATAAGTGCTCAGGCCCAGAGTTCAAGCCCCACAACCAAAAAAAAAATCCTCCCTAAAACTAAATTCCTGAGAGACAAAGAGATAAAACTGGGGTGCTTCCAACAGTACCTTGAAATGTAGTTTTCTTTTCTTTTCTTTTCTTTTTGTTGGTCATGGGGCCTGAACTCTGGGCCTAGGTACTGTTCCTCGGCTCTTCAGCTCAAGGCTAGTGCTCTACCACTTAAGCCACAGTGCCACTTCTGGCTTATTCTGCTTATGTGCTGCTGAAGAATCGAACCCAGGGCCTCATGCATGCAAGGCAAGCACTCTACCCCTGAACCATCTTCCCATCCCTGAAATATAGTTTTCATTGTTCAAGCCTACATTTGTGATGAATTTCTTTATTCCTTTATCCTTTTGTTTTGTTTGGTTTTATTTTTGGTTATGCTACTTGAACTGTGAGCCTAGGAACCATCCCTTAGCCCTTCAGCTCAAGCCAAGTGCTCTACATTGTGAGCTAAAGCACCAATTCTGGTTTTCTGGTTTTTATTGGAGATAAGTGTCTCACAGACATTGCTGCCCAGGCTGACTTTGGACTGCAATCCTCAGGTTTCAGCCTTTTGAATAGCTAGGATTAAAGACATGAGGTACCAGCACCCAGCTTGCATTTCTTTTCTTTTATGTCCCAGCCTTGGGGCTTGAACTCAGTGCGTGGACACTGTCCCTAAATTTTTGCTCCAAACTAGCACCCTAGTACTGGAGCCACAATTCCACATTCGGCTTTTTCTATGTATGTGGTACTGAGGACTTGAACCAGAGCTTCATACATGTTAGGTAAGTACTCTACCACTGTTGCGGGACAGCCACAACACCAACAGTGTTTTGGAACGGCAAATGATGAATCTCTCTTTATTCCAGCAATAACCTTAGCTATAGACACTTTCTAGATCAGTCCAGTGCTTGCATCACATTGTTCTAGTACTCACTGAGTCAACAAGTGCATACCATATGCATCTTTCCTCATTCTAGTTCAACCTTTGTCCAACAAACACCTAGAGGTAAGCCCCTAGGCCCAGAAGCTAAAAGGAACACTCCCTCCTACAAAAAGGGCAAGTACTTATAGCCCTGAGGGTTGGAGTCTGTGGTTGTGGAGCTTTTGCTCACACCTTGCCAGCTCCTGGCACCTCAGGGTCTGCACCACTTCTCCCTTTTTCATTTTGTAAATTGAGCAAGTGTCTATCAGCCTGAACCTGGAAAATCAGCAGATCATACATCTCAGGAAGAATGGAAGAAAAAAGAAATACCAAAACAATAAACAGGAAAATGCCTAAGAAATAACAAAAAGAGTGCTATTTCCCCAGGTGAATCCCTTCAGGTAATGGAGAACTGATACAACTAAGCCTGCATGGTAGAGTGACCAATACCAGATATCTGACCCTGAAGATGCATAATATCTAAGCTTATATTATCAGAGGGCAAGATTCTTCAAATATGTCACTGGATATGGGTCCAAATCATATTTCCATCATATTCAAGAGGGATAACACAGATGTACTGACAATTAGCATGACACATTATTTTTAACTGTGTCTTTAGCAGGTCTATGTGATTATCAACATACATTATTGCTGTTTCCAAATCATAAAACATATCACAATCATTTTATCTACAACCACCTGCATATCAAGGGAACCAGAAACATTTCAAACTAAAGTATTAACATGTTGTTCTGTATATATGGTTTCTACAATGATCACAGGAGAAGCAGGAGCCCTAGCAAAAGAGTCAGGATAGCAATAATGATGGCAACCAATATTCCCCAAAATCTGCACCAATGGCTAAGAGTCCTCTGAACCTCAATAGCAAACCGAGACCGAAACTTATTATACCATGGTTCTATCAACTGAACATGCAATGTAAGTTAAGGGGATTGCATAGTAAGCTAGGATTACTCATGCAGTTAGTGAGAACACAATTGTTCCTGCAAGAGGCATGAAACACCACCCCACCCTTGAAAACCATACCCAGCCCAAGTACTAGCATGTATGGATATATAAACAAGCTCGCACAGTAAATGATACAAAACGGTGAAACAGGACAGGTCTCTGAAACAGAGATATGGGATGGTGAGAGGCATTAGTTCAAATAGGCCTCATGGCAGCAGCCAGGCTCAAGATGTCAGGGTGAGCTTGTCCACACAAACTGACAAACATGGGAGCAAGCAAGGTACCACTGATCATGTCACTCCTCTGAGACCAGTCCTGCCTTACATACTGGGAGACTCCTACCACCAGAACTGTGGAAAAGGTGTGAAATCCACAGGCCCTCAGGGCGATGGATCATCACAACCATGGGAATCGCTGGGCATAGTGGAAGCCAAGAGGGATGCACCACATCTCCTGCTAAAGGAATTCTACAAGTGTTATGCTTAAGCTCCATCTTTTTCCATTGGTTCACCTTTTCCTCCAGAGGAAGTCAGAACCATAATCTATCCCTGAATACTTTACCATACTTGTGTACCTTTGAGCTCAGGATCTGCAATAGTCAATAACTGTGATCAATGAAGTAAGAGGATATAAGTAAGAGGATATTTGTATAATAATGAGACTTACATCTGTGAGCAATGAACAATTCAAACATAATGTAGTAAGTAAATTCTATTTATACAAGTACAATAAACATAATACTTAGAAATGAATGTTTGAAAAATGTAACCAAGAACAATGACAACTATGGGACACAGCTAGTCTAGGAAGCAGCCATTTTTACCTGATCCTTATGTCCTTGCCTCTCAGGAACTTACTTTTAACTTTTACAGAAAGGAAGAATTATTTTTCCTTCATATTTTATAGGTGCTCCCATGTTGCCGTCTATCCATCCAAACGTGCCTCAGGATCTCCATTTTCATGAGGAATAGCTAAAGTCCACTAAAAGAGGGATAAAAAAACCTTACATTGGAGGACTGAATATCAGGCATGAAACTTTCCTACACAATCCTTCCCAGTCATGATGTGGGGAAAGGATCATCAACAATCACAACAAACCCTTAAGAGACAAGCTTAGCATGTCTTATATGAGGTAGGGAGGCAAAAGATTTATTGCACAGTGTAATGGATACAGTCTGGGAAGACAAGTCTTAGGTCCCCTAGATATGTGACCTAGACTTGCTGACAGGAACTTCTAGGGTCAGAGAAGAGGTAGAAAATCAAAACAAAATAGGATATGCAAAAAGGAAAAGTAAAAACAGACTGGTTTGGAGCAAGTAATCAAGCTTCACATGAACATAGACCTGCGCTGAACTCTACCTCCTCCCACATTCATACTGATCTACCTAGACAACCATTTTTTTTGACGAGTCTTGGAGGAGGAGTACCATTTTCTAAGAAACTCCTGGGAGGAAACTTTTCACTAGTCTCCTGAAGCAATGAGTAAAAGAAAGGCAAGTACATTACAGCAAATGCTCACAGACAGTGCTCAAGCTCTGAGTTCAAGCCACAGGACCAACAACAAAATGAGGGAAAAACTTTATAAGGAAAGGCAAATTTCAGACACAAATAACCAAAAACTTCTTAAAATTTCGTACATGAAATTTGGGAGTTTCTCGGAAAGTAATGAGTAAAATTTGACAAATCAATTTAATTCATAGATTATAAAGTATATCTGTCTTTAAATTCTGTTATTTTATTGCAGTATATATATTAGAGCAAGGGAAGACGATGCCAGAATCAATCAGTTTACTGTCTGCAAGTACTTTTTTTTTTTAATGTACTCAAAGTGAGTACATTAAAAATTGAACCAAAGGAACACTTCCAACATTTTTGCTTATGTGGTGCTGAGGATTCAAACACAGGGCCTCATGCATGCTAAGCAAGCACTCTACCACTGAGCAATCTTCCCAGACCAGTTACTGTCAAATCTGATGCCATGAAGTATTCCTCCCCTTCTCTCTTCTTTTCCCTTTCCCTCTGTTCCCCTCCTCTCCACCACTCTCTTCTTCCTTCTTTTCCCTAACCTTTTGCTTCCCTTCCCCACCTTCTCCACTCATCTTCTTTTCCCTTTATATCTGAGATGAAGATGTGCTAGTATCACTACAGTTAGGTTTCTAACTTAGAAACACATGTAAACACATACTTCATGGTTTTCTTGAGCTACTATTGGAGCTTGAACTGCAGGTCTCACAGTCAGTCAACTTCCTCACTCACTGTTGGCACTATCACTTGAGCCATACCTCTAACCTGTTCATTAGCTGCTTAGTTTGAGTTGTCTATCCAGGCTGGCTTCCAGACCTCAGTTTCCTCCTTACTAGCTAGGCTAAAATGACAGTCTTGAGCAAGAAGTACTTGCCTTGATTTTTCTTACCTCAACATTTAACATTAACACTTAATTGGATACTACAATGAAACAGTTTATTGTTACTGGTTTATGTAGAATTAATATGCAACCTAAACTGAAATAGTTTATCTTTCAAATTAAGTGTTGTAATGTGTTTCTAACAATTGTAACTGTTCTAACTGTGGTAGATTTTCTTCACTAAGCAAATCGCTTAAGATGAAGGTATTGTTTTATAATTAATGCAATTTAATGTTATTGTGGAGGTGATGTATAGAGAGATATAATGATATGAGTGAGGTAAGAATACCCTTCTTTTCATAGAGTTTCTTCCATGCCTTCATTCTCTCCCAAATTCTCCCTCCTATCTCTACTCTTGAGTTGTATATTTTACTTTCATCACCCTATTTCCCTCACATTCTATGGCTCTGCCACACCCACCAGAAGATATACATGTGAATACACCATACAAAATTGAAACCAATTTGTTTTTATTTCCCAAGTGAAGAAAATGGCTCCCTTTAATATTGAATAAATCCCAATGATAGCATACATATATTTTTTACATATCCATTCTAGTTTCCTTCTGTTTTTTTTACTGTTAGATTATTAGAAACATATTGTTGGATTTTATCCTGTATTTATGTCATATTTGTCATACTCATTTCTAGACAATTTCTCTTCAGATCTATTCTCAGTGTTTCTGTCTTGGTAAACAAAACAGCTTAGTGCTTTATAAGCAGCATTTAGTAAAGATAATGCCATCCATGTGTGTGTTTCTAATGACCGTTTGTCTAGTTAGGCAGTCATTAAGATGAATATTACTTCTCCAATCATAATGATAGATTAAAGAAATTATCATTCTTTGGCCTTTTAATCATGTCTTTGTAGACTTTGGTTTACAGCATAGAACTTTTCAGCATACAGATTTATAATTTGCCTGTTATTATCAATGCTCTGTATCTGTGGTAACACAATTCGTGTTGAGGTTCTTTTCCTTTCCTATTATGACTACTTGTATTTTTTAGTATTGATTATTGCTTATGGTATGTTTATATTGATTTACTTTTATTTCTTGATAATTAATGTATGTCTCTTTGGCTTATTGAGTTTTTTGAGTATGTTTTCTTCTGTTCAAATCAGACATTACCTGATATAGTTACTATTTTTATATTACAATATTAACATGGCTTCATTTTAGTGATTACTTTGCTATTTATTATATATGTCTCATCTGATATGTATTTCTTAGTTTGCTTTCATGTAACCTGCACACATCCTTCTATACAGTGCAAATCACCTCTAATATAATCTCCAGGGAATCTTCTATACACTGTAAATCACCTCTGATACCTATTACAATTTAAATCTTATTAAATAGTTGTTACAATGCATTGTTCATTGGATAATGCCAGTTTTTTAAAAGGCTGCATGTTTACTATAGGTGCCATACTTTTTCAAGTATTTTGGTTCTATGGTTTGTTGAATCTGTGCAACAAACAAATATGTAAGACCTAATATATTCCTTTGAAAATTCTACTGTAGGCGCTAGAAAGGTGGCTCAGTGGAGAGTGCTTGCCTTGCATGCATGAGGCCCTGGGTTAGGTTGCTCAGGATCACATAACAGAAGAATCTGGAAGTGGTGCTGTGGGTCCAGTAGTAGAGCAGTAGCCTTGAGCTGAAGAGCTGAGGGACAGAGCCCAGGCCCAGAGATCAGGCCACGTGAATGATGAAAAGAAAAAAACATACCACAAATAACATAGTGCATATAATAATATTTAAAGGTGCTGGACACAAGTGTCTCATGGTAGTAAACCTGAGACCTGAGGATTTAGATTTCATCTAGCCCTTTCAGAAAGGTCAATGAAACTCTTATCTACAATTAATCACCTGAAAATCCAGAAGTAGAAATTGATAGATGGCTCAAGTGATAAATCCTTAAGATAAAATGTTCAGGGACAGCACTCAGACAATGAGATCAATACCAAATATTAGGATGTTTTACTGTGATACATGGAAATAAATGCTACTTTTAAAAAGTGGGTGGAATTATGCAAAAATGCATATTGTTCAATAAGTAATGAAATCAATGAAATCAACCGAGTAATCAATCAAGTAATGAAATGAATGCCTGGCTTATGGAACTTTGACATACATATATATGTATAAATACCCATATGTATATATGTATACATACATATGTGTATGTATACATATATGAGTATATGTGTATATATACATATATAAACTCACATGTGTATATATAGACATATGTATGTATGTATCTATACATACATAGGTATATGTATCACCTTCACAATAATTTTAGAAGAATGCAAAAGCAACAGAAACATAGAATAAATTCTTCTATGGATGTAGGTAGCATTTGGAGCAGGGAGGGTAAGCAGACATGGTATAGGAGGTGAATATGGTTTTAAAAAGTGTGTGTGTATGTGTATGTGTGTGTGTGTGTGGTGTGTTTATCAATGAAACTTGCTGACATTGGGTTTTTTGTTTTCATTTGCTCATTTGTTGTTGTTGTTGTTTGACATTCCTGGGGCTTGAACTTAAGGTGTGAGAACAGTTCCTGAATTTCATTATGCTGAAGGCTACCACTCTACCCCTTGAGCTACAACACCAGGGCGTCTAGGGGTGTTTGGTAGTTGTTGTTTATTCGGTACTGAGAAATCAAAACCTGTGCTACATGCATGCTAGGCAAGCACTTTATCACTAAGCCACATTGCCAGCCCCAACCACACAGTTTTAAGAAAGGAGGCAGGGCTGGGAGTGTGGTTCAGTGGTAGAGTGCTTGCCTTGCTACATGAGGCACTGGGTTCCACTCCTCAGCACCACATCAGCAGAAAATTCATTGTGACTTATTACCAATTAAATGCCAGAAAACTAGAAGTGACATTCTGGCTGGAAGTGGTAGCATGGTAGCCTTTAGTGAAAAGCCTAGGGAATATGCCAGGCCCTCCCTGAGTTTAAACCCCACAGCCAACAATTAAAAGAAAAAAGAAACAATCATGAACAAACAAAAAACTAAATGCTTGCTCATTGCCTTTGTTCTTCTATTTTCTTTGTTCTTGTAACTGTATACTTCATATCATTCCATTTTCTACTTTCTTCCTTTCACTTTGGGGGATTGAACCTTGGGACTTGCACATGGAAGGTGGATACTACATACCAGCCTATTGTTTCTT